TGTGTGTGTCTGTGTGTTACTGTGTGTGTGTCTGTGTGTGTGTGTGTTGCTGTGTGTGTGTCTGTGTGTTGCTGTGTGTGTGTGTGTCTGTGTGTGTGTTGCGTACCTCATCTTGTGTGCTTCATCACAGCTGGCCTGAACATGCTGCAGAGCCTGAAGAATCGGAGTCTGAGTGAAGACTGACAGAGAAACAGTTTGAACCATTTAATAGAGTTCATGTGAAGTTGTGAGACCATCATAGACACACTCTGTGGACTGTTTCTATGCTGCAGCAGTTACTGCTGGATGTCGTTGAACCTACAGTTGTTCTTAGTGTTGCTCAGACTCAGTCTCAGGTTGTCCATGTGTTCCAGGATCTGTTCCAGAGTCAACTGAGCCAGTTTGCTGCTCGAACTGCGGAGACTGAAGACAAACAGAGAGTTAGTATAGAGCAGTGTTTCTCAATGTGAGGAAAAGGTCGGTCTACGTGGAACTAATGTGCTGAACTATTGTTCTAACGTGGCCCTGACTATAAACAAACTGTAACCGTCTCCTGTGAAGGGTTCATTCTGCTCCCCTGGAGATTAACTGTCAGTAGATGCACAGAAAGGACGAGTATTTGACCGGGACAAAAAAGAAAACAGGCGAACAGGAAGCAAACAAGATACAATCTCAAGACAAAAAGTCAAGAAAATATGACGCAGCTTATGTCGCTCTTGGCTTCACAGTGAATGTGGTGGGAGATGAGGACAGTGTTTTATGTCCACAGACAGGATGAGACCAAACCAACTAGAAGACACACGGAGACGTTACATCACCCTAACCCGTCACGTCAAGAAGCCACTCGACTTGTTTCAGAGAAAACCTGATGAATACCGTAAGCAGGAACATCACATGGTAAAGGCTGCATCAGTCAACAGCAAAGCACAAACAGCGTCATACGAGGTCGCAGAAACCACATGCAACAGCTGAGGATCTCATATTGCCCGCTGCTCTTGATATGGTGTCAACGAATGATGAAACAACCGCTACAAAATTGAAGGCTATCCCCCCATCTAATGACACAGTTGCAAGATGTATAGGCGACATTTCAGATGAAGAATAGCTTACAGAGGCCCTGACAGACAAACGTTTTGCATTACAAGTGGACAAAGCTACTGACAGTAATAAAGACTGTTTATTTGTTGTGCTAGCTTTCCCACTCCGAGTCACTGAGTGAAGATTTGCTGTTTTGCAAGTACTTCAAAGGCAGAGCGTCAGCTGATGAGCTCTTCACCATTCTTCACAGCTACCTGACAGAACATGGACTGAAATGGGACAACCATGTTGGCTTTTGCTCAGATGGTGCACAGACCATGGCAGGTCACTCATCCAGAGGGTCTCGCCAAATGCACAATGGCCATACTGCGTCATTCATAGAGAAGCATTAGCATCGAGGCAGCTTAGCAATGAGCTACATGAGGTTGTGACTGAAGTTATTGGTGTGGTCAGGTTAATTAACATCCGTGCCCTGATAGCACGCCTGTCCTCTGCCCTTTGTGAGGAGATGGGAGCTGAACATCCTGCTGTGCTGCTTCACAGCAAGGCAAGGTGGCTCTCATGAGAGAAGTTATCACAAGTCTTTAAACTCAGAGAGTAGACTCGGGTGTTTCAGCATGTGACAGCATGCATGAAGCCGCAAGCAAGTTCAGTGATGGTACTGGTACTATTACAATATTTATACTATTTGTGCTCTACATACATTTTATTTATGGTGTGTGTGTTACTGACTAACTGGAATAGATTGTTGTAAAGCTAAATTTTGTTGTGTTTAATATGCAATTAATTACAAATAAAGTATCTATCTATTTATCTGCAGCACCAGCCAATTTCAGCTCTGCTGAAGAAGACCAACTCATTGAGATGAGCTTTGACCACCCTGAGGCTGAGGTGTAAAGCTCAGAGGCTGAGTGCATTCTGATTGGTGTGCAGAGGGAGCATCTGCTCATAGGGCAGAGGGCTGTGGGCATCCTTCTTCCCTTCGCCACATCCTATCTCTGTGAGATTGGCATTTCAGCTGTTACTTCACTGAAAACAACGTACAGATCCAAGCCCAACATTATGCATGACCTCAAGGTATCAAGCCTGCAACTCCATTTGGAAAAAGTGTGCAGCGCAAAACAGGCTCCCTGCAGCCTAATGGCGCGACACGAGTCACACTTTGGATTGTTCATCTTGTTCTTTGGCCAAATATCTGCACTTTCCTCATTTTTTTGCACTAATTGCAAAGTTATTACGCAATTTCACAACATTTTTAGACATTTAGACAGTCTGAGCGTATTCAACTATACTGTTGTGTCTTATGTTCTGTTCTTATGTGTTATGGTTCTCTTTCCTGTTTTTGAAAGAAGACACAGATTTATGGATTATTGTTATTTTTCTTGATCAATGAGCATGTTGTTAAGTTGTTGTTTGTTTGCTGATGATATTTATTTAATTTCCATAAATCTGAGCTTGGCTCAGGGCTGCAAGGCAGTGCAGCTGGTAGCACCGTGGCCTCACAGCTAGAAGGTCTCTGGTTGGCGTCCCGGTGAGGACACCCAGGATCTTCCTGCGTGGAGTCTCCATGTTCTCCCCGTGCAGCGTGGGTTCTCTCCGGGTTCTCCGGCTTCCTCCCACAGTCCAGAAACATGCTGAGGTTAATTGGTGATTGTAAATTGTCCGTAGGTGTGAATGTGAGTGTGCTTGGTTGTCTGTCTCTAAGTGTAGCCCTGTGATAGACTGGTTACCTGTCCAGGTGAACCTGCCTTCACCCTGAGTCAGCTGGGATAGGCTCCAGCCCCCCACCACCTACCCTCTGGTGTCCTCTATCTGTCTGTCCTCACCTCTGTCTCTTGCGTGGCTGGTTATTGTTCTTGATCAGCTGGGCCTTGATATGTTCTCCAAGCGTGTCGTCATATTTTGACGCCCAGTGTCTCAGGATGCTGGTGGTGAACTGGTCCTCTGGGTGGCAGGGACGGCTGAGGACCATCTTCACCATCTCCTCACTGGGCCTGGACAGACAGACAGACAGACAGACAGACAGACAGACAGACAGACAGACAGACAGACAAGAAGACATTAGAGGGACCCTCAGACCTGCAGTGTGCATTAGAGACAGTGTGTATCAGTAACAGTGTATGTGCAGTTTTGTCCTACTTTTCTCTGCGGAGCTGCAGCAGGAGACACGATAAGGCTTCAGGGTGTTCTGCAACACAAAGACACACAGGGGGCTGACAACAGACTCCACAACAGAGCTTTCTTCCTTAGTGGGGGTGGTGGTTTGTTGTTGCTACCTTTGTATTTGAGGTGCTGCAGGATGGGGATGATGGTCTCCAGCGGGATGCTGTGGGCCAGAAACAGCTGCCAGGTGCTGTACTGTTCGAAGGTCTCCCAGTCCAGAGACTGAACTGTGGACAGAAGAGACGGACGTGAGGACAGAGCAGAGACAACCAGCAGGACGTGTTCTGTGGTGGGAGTTCATACTGAGGATGTTGAGAACCGAGTCCTTCCGGAACATCACCAGGTTCCCCATCATCACGTGACACATCAGCTCCTGCAACTGCACACACAGATCACATGCTGTTACTAGACAGGTGAGACAGAGGCTCTACCCACACTGGACAGGTGACAAACTTAAACACGTTGATCAGAGCAGCGTGTTTACCTGCGTAGAGTCGATGACGGCGACAATCATGTTGAGCAGTTCGCCACTTCGCAACGTCTCATCTGGAAACTGAACAGAGACATTCTGGTCAGGTGTCACCTTCAACAGGTGACATCAGGATCAGGAGTGTCAGGGTTCGCGTGCGGTACAGGTGTGTACCTCAGAGTAGATGGAGGGTGTGAGGTAGCAGAGCAGCCTGACGTCGTCCTCCTGACACGCCTTCATGTCCATCATCAGACAGGTGTGCAGGTCACCGAGTGCCGTTGCCTGAGCAAACGACTCGTACAGCATCATTTTCCCATTGGCTGCTTTACTGTGGACACACACACACACACACACACACACATCGGGTTAAATCTGCTGTCAGAATGTGTCTGCCGCTTTGACATCACATCTGCCTCACCTGGCCTTCAGGTAGTACAGCAGGTGGTAACCAATCTTGGGCTGCTTCTGATAAAGTTCAGCCAACATGTCGAGCAGCACAGAGAAGCCGCTGTTGTCCTCCTGCATGGTGACCAGGTTCCTGAAGACCAAACAGACGGGCTTACAGACCGACTCCTCCAGAGACCTGAGGACAGACAGATGAGTCATACAGGTGGGTCAGAGAGACACAGGTGAGACATACAGGTGAGTCAGGCACAGACAAGTGAGCCTTACTCCTCTGTGATCTCCTCTGGTAGAACATCTCCTCTAAAATGATCTTTGAAGAGTTCAGCCAGACAGGAAGCCAGAGCCGACATCTGCTCTGTGTCAAAGTCCTCCTGCAGCACCGAGGAACAAAACATAACAGATTAAAACACAGCAGAACACAACAGAACACAGCGGAACATGTGATGTTATTTGTTGCATTTGAAACTCCAGAACACATGTGTGTCATGTGACGTTCTTCTGATCATGTCGCTGTTGCTCACATTTCTGATCAAGGTATTGATTAGTTCTAAGCAGCACTATGAGGAGTGGCTGTGGTGATGACTGACAGCTGCTCTGTTCAGTCACTGTGTGGCCGGTCGTGTACTGTAGTAAACTTTACTGATGTTCTACAGGACGGAGAAGAAAGAAGGCTCACCTCCAGGATCAAGTCGACGATCTCCTGCATCACTTCACACTGAGTCTCCGTGTCACTGAGGAGACGACACATCACCAGACAGTAAACACCTGGTGGACAGGTGAATGACCTCACTGTGACCTGAACATCTGAGCACCTAAAGGATGACTGAGGGTCTCACCTGGTCTTCTGAATCTGCTGCACCTTCTCTTTCATCGTGTCGTCTAATTGGTCCAGCCAAGGTGTGATGTCAGCAGGCTCCTCCATCACCGCCTCTTTGATTGGATGGAACCTGAACTCCCTCTTCTTTCCTGCACAGTGATTGGTCAACAGGCAGTGTGATGGAACACGCTGACTTTTAATGAATGAACAGGTTCAACTGCAGCTCACCTGTAGTTCTAAACAACACAGTTTGTCTTTTAACTGGACTCACCCGGGTTTATCTAGATCAGATAGTTTACTCCAAACTGGCCAAATTTAGTTTTGTTTAACGGTTTAAAGTGAACCAGACCAAAATGGTTTATTCCAGTTTGAACTGGTTTATTCTCATCAACCTGGTTTATTAATAGTATGAACTGGTTGACTGGTTGTCTCTTGTTGTCACCTTTGTTGTTGACTTCCTCCTCGTCGTCGCTGAATGTGGCTTCTGTGGTGTCATAGCAACCATCCTCCTTGTCCAACACATGGTTGTCCATCTCCATGGAAACGGCTTCCTCCATCTTGACTGCAGGATACGGAGACATTTGAACATACCAGTTGCTTTTGTTTGTTTCTACCAATCTGAGTGTGTGTGTCTGTCAGGAGTTGTGTTACCTTCAGTGGGGGGGGATGGTGGGCTGCAGAATTCGGGGAATCTCTCTCTGAGCATCGATCGAAGCTCTCGGTCTAACTTTGGATTGTCAAAGAGTGGAGCGAGGTGACTGAGGGACAGGTGAGTCAGATCAATAATCAGAAATGCTCAGTGATCAAGAACTGATGGTCAGAAATATTAGGGATCAATGACTGATAAAAACTGTTATCAGTGTTTCTTACGCCAGCACCCTCTTCTCCATAATGAAGGTGAGCGAGTTGAAGACGCCTTGACGGACCTGAGACTCCAACGGAGGGAAGAAGTGAGGGATGATCTGAGGGGTCAAGGAGAGGAGGCAAGGAGAGGCGAGAACGATAGGAAGGAAAGGAGGCAGGGAGAAGATGAAAGGTATTTCAGATGAGCTGTGTTGTTTTGAAAACAGTGTCAGTGTGCGTTTTGTGTTGTTTCTGTTGATGGGGTGTGTATTATGTAGTGCAGTTTGCGTGGCGTCGGTGTGTTACCCTGCACATGAAGTCCAGCAGCGTGGCCGTGATGGCAGGATGAGGTTTCATGGAGTGATGCATCACCAGGATGGCTGGTTCTGAAACACAAACAGGTGAGGGTCATCTGTAGCACACCTGTCTGACATCATCTCTGACACGCTGTCCCTTCAGTCCTTGTAGGGACAACATTGCTCACTTTGAGACAAAAGTCTTTCTGAATGTTCAGGTCCTGACACGGGCCACGGTCCTCACAGAGACAGATTCATGTGTGTGTGTTACCTATGTTCATGATGCTGTCCTTCTCAGGGTTGAAGAACAGCCAATCATAGAAGAGTGCCAGCTTGGCGTTGGAGGCAGCCACGTTTGACTGCAAAATCACGCACACCAACTAATTATTAGTTATTCATTTTAAATGATGCAATGACAGCGTGTGGCCCCGCCCCCTTACCGTGCAGGTGGTGAGCAGCCAGCCAATGATAGCCCAGCGGGGCAGGATGTCAGAGCTTAGCACCTCATTGGATGGATGGACCACTCCGCAAATGTAACGAATGAGATCGCAGCGCAGCGACTGGCTCTCCGCTGTGGACAAGTACTGTCTCTGAAACCAGTCCTGATACCGCTTCTGCTGCCCAAAACGCACCTGAGGAAAGATAGACATACAGTCAGAGACACCTGAGTCATAGGTAGGCACAGGGATCACAGGTGAGTCTTACCCTGGAGGTCATGAACAGCAGCTTTGTCTCCATGTCCGGTGTGAGTCGACAGGCCAGAAACTTCCTCGAGGTCCGAGCTGTGAGCAGCTGCAGGACACCTGGAACACGGAACCAACAGGTAAAAACGTCACAGAAACTTGATGTGAAACATGGAGAAGTAGTTGATGACACTGATAATCACTGTGTCCATCAAGTATGGATCGCTGATCATAACAGTGTAGCAGTGAACTGAGGATTGTGGGTAGTGTAGTGTACCAGTGAACTGAGGACTGAGGACTTGTGGGTTGTGCAGCAGGTCTTTCCATAGCAGCTCCATCTCTGGGATGCGAGCGACATTTTGAAGAAGACGAACTAGATCTCTGCCGATGATCAAGCACTCCATGAACTGCAGATGCAGAAGGAGGCGGAGTTATCAGAGTCACCACTAGGTGATAAACACAGCACATACACCCGCATGCCTCCTCACCTTCTCTCTCAGCATGCTGATGCAGAAGTCCACTTCTTTCTGCCGCAGAGGCAGCAGGTTCGGTGCTCCGTGGTCAACGATGAGGCGGAGGTAGGTGTAGACTGACATGGCGATCAGCATCCCGCTCTTCAGCACCCAGTCCCTGCAGAGACAAACACTCAGCTCAGCTTCACTTAGAGGCAGCAGAAATTAAATGCTTCTTTGTGCCCCTCTGCTGTTTCTGTTTCAGGCCAAATGTCTGGTTAGTCCATGCTATAGTTTCTCCAACATTTTAAGGATAAACGTACTTCTGCTCCAGCAGGATGTCCAGGACGCTCTCGGCCAGCCACAGGTTCTTGGTTGAAATGTCTCCACCTGTGGACGGAGGACAGTGACGTCACACTGAGACACAGCAGTGATAATGTGTTACAGGTAGAAGTCACCTGAGAGTCTCACCTGCAATCTGTTTCAGCAGCGTCATGATGACACCGTCAGCTCCCATCACTCCGCTCTTCACCAGTTCTCTGACCAGCCACACTAGCTGCACACACAACACATCATTAACAACCTGCACAGGTGTCATCCAGGGGAGGACAGATACTAGGGTCCCCCTGTCCCCACCTGTCCTCTCAGGGACAAACCCAGTGTTACTGCCAAACCATCAAAGACAGGCGCCTGTAAACGTAGCACTGAGTGATAAAGGTGAAGTTTATCATGTGTCTTACTGTGTGTACACCTTTATATGTTGTACCTGTATGTACACCTGTATATGTTCTACCTGTATGAGCCTGTACAGTTTCCACCTGTGTACATACCTGTGTTCTGGGGACATCCTGCAGCTTGAGGAACTTCTCCATCAGGATCTGGTTGATCTTTACCAGGACGATGTTCATCCCGTCTCTGTTGACCAGCGTCAGGTCTCTGTAACACTGTGGCCACACACAGTGATGTCACAGCGGCGTCACAATGATGTCAGACATTACTGATGATGTGTCGGTAACTCACCCTCTGAGCCTGGGTCGGTTCAGTGAGGACCAGAGTGAACAGACCCAGACACACCTCCTCATGCTGCTGCTGACCTTTACACACCTGCAGGACAGGTAAACACAAAAGTATTCAGCATCTGGCTGTGCGTAAACTATGGCACTGAAGTAATACCAGCAGTATTAGCAGTAAATATAGTATTTGTTGTAGTATTTTGCGACACTGGAACCACAAAGTTTGTTTCCATCTGTTAGATCTATAGATATCTTCATGTTCAGAATGTGTCGGTGCTGCATGTTGCAGCTAAACAAGAATCCCCACAGAAACACACTGATTCCATGTTAGGAGCTTTAGCTGAAGAGCTCAGGGTCTTTCACTGAACAGTTGTAGTTCAATAGTTGGATTCATCATGACACATGGAGGTTTCTTCTTTGTAGCAATAGTTTTCCTCCTCAGCTGGCAGCAGAAACACCACAAGTTTGCAAAGTAACCTCTTTCAAGTCATCCTGCTGGACATTCTCAGAGTCTTCTCCTCCTTTTGATGCAGCTCCTCGTCTGAGACTCTTCCAATAAAAACAGTTGATCACCGAACGGAAATAACTTCCTGTTTTGACATCCAATCAGGTGGTCCATCACACTGGGCAGCTGAGTCACATGTAGACAGACTGAGGAGTCGATCAATATGCAGGTGATTGACCAGCAGGTAGGTTATGTCATGTGACACATCATGTGATCTGCGACTGCATGAGAATGTGGGACAGCAGCATATCCCACTCTGTGTGTGTGTTGTGTAGAAGTTGTGTGTGTTTCTTACGTTGGCAGTCAGTGCATCATTGGCTTCTCTCTCTGACAGCCCATTGGTCAACGCCTGGACGATCCCAACACAACGCTCCAATCTCTGCGCACAAACACAGCAACAGATATAAACACAATGACAGCCATCAAAAACACACCATCAACATAACAGTAAACAAATGAATAAACACAACAACACAAAAACACAAACCGTGATTGATTAGCTACATGAGCTAACAGCCAGCAGACTGAAACAGATGAAACGACATTGATAACCTTAAACTTTCTTGATCAGGATCAACTGTCACCGTCTCACAACTTCTGACATGTGAAATATGGCGCATGCGCCTCTGTCACTTTTTGGTCTCATCCCTGTGTTTACGTAGAGTTAGCATGCTAGGCTAACCGTCCTGTAGCTGTGGGAGTTTACGTCTCCGCCGCAGCGTTTTTCAGAGCTCAAAGACGGTGAACACACACTGCCGCGGCCTCACACGGAAGTCCACGGCTCCAGCACCGTGTCCACAAACCGACCACACTGACCTGCGCTCCGCTAACGCTAATAGCCGCTGCTAGCTGTGCTAAGTAGCCTGCTAGCTGCCTGGTTCGGTCCTCTCTTTGTACCCTCCGCTGCTAACTGCTCATAAACCCGCTCAGTCCCGGTTCATCCCAGGTTGTCCCTGCTCCCCGGCCAGCCAACCCGTTTCAGCCTACCTCCTCTAATTCGTCTTTGGCGTCCAGCGGGGTGGACACCAGGAGCCGGCCCTGTGGCTTCGCTTTCGCCGGTGCAGGCTCCATCTGCTCCCGCCGCACCTCGCCGGGCCCCGCGGAGCTGTAAAGGGCTGGGACTCCCGGCTCGGTGTCGGGGCTTCTCGGCGCTTGTGTCGGTGTAACTGAGACTCCGGAGCCTCGGTCAGGCTCGGGGCCTGGCTGTGAGACGCTTCGGGTGGTTAATGAGTGTTTTGGGAACTTGTTGAGGGGCAGCGGAGACTCTGGTCCCGCTCCGTGACACCGTCCAACCGCAGTATAACGGACATCCGTACCCAGCGAACGGAGGAACGGGGAGACGCCGCACCGCCTGCTGACCAATCACTGCACTCACAGCTCTGAGTGACAGCAGCGTGGGCCAATGGCAGGAGAGGAAACCTGAAGCCAATCCGCAGCCTGCAGAGCCGACGACCAGCGGCGTGGAAACGACTTTACCCTGTTTACAAAGTACTGATCCAAATACTGCAGTACTAATGGAATACTACTGCAATACTATAGCAGCACAAATAATACATAAATTCTGCAATAGTAAGAAAATAGAAATAGTTCAGTACTGCAGAATTAAGCATCACTGTCCTGCATAACATACAGCTGCTGCTGATACTTTACCTACATGTTAGTTACTATTAAATGTACTTTTACTGTAGTACAGAGCTCATTTTACTGTCTCGGTGTAGATCAGACATTTTAATACCTTTATTAAGTTATTAATAAATCATCTTCATATAATATGATATAATATTAATGCATCACTGATAAATGTGTTTTTAATAACAGTAATTGATCAGATTTATATAGCACTTTTCTAGGCTAGGTCTACTCAAAGACGCTTTACACTGTCAGTTATTCATTCAAACACATTCATCCTGGTGGTGGTAGCTACGGTTGTAGCCTCAGCTGCCGCGGGGCAGACAGACAGAGGCCTGGCTGCCATCCTGCCCTCCGACCACCACCTCAACAATCCATCCATACACATCCACACTAGGCAGGCGGTGAAGTGTTCTGGCCAAGGACACAGCAGCCAAGGACACAGGATGCAGGGCGGAATCGAACCGCCGACCTTCTGGTCATTATAACCAACTCACACCTACCGCCTGAGCCACAACCACACAAATCTTTGTGTTCATCTCTGTGTTTGCTGCATGTATTCAGAAAAATGAAATCACTGAAGTAACAAACACACTTTATTTCTGTATTTACACAACTTTTTTTTCTGGTAAGTGACTTTACAGTGAAACATTCATCTGTCAGTTTGTTTTTGGTGAAACAAGTTCAGTCAGTGTAGCGGCACTTTAAATGATGTCACAGGTGACGTCCAATCAGAGGGAAGGCAGGCCTCCATCAGTCCTCCATCAGTTACTGTTGCTCTCTCCCAGTAGCCAGTACGTCCTCATGCGTCCTTTTCCCTTCACCTCGATCTCTCCTCTAAGCTGCAGCTGGAAGCAGCTGCACTCCTGCAGAACCTGACGAGTCGCCTCTGACACATGAATTTTTAGAGCTGTAGAGACACAGCATCACACATCACAAAAGGATGAACAGTGTTTACCGTGCTGCTCTCAGAAGGCTGCAGTGTTTACTGTAGGTGTTACAGTGTGTTCTGCAGCTGTTGGCAATTTGCTGATGCAGTGTTGGCTGAGGTTCTGTTTGGTTCTTGACATGGATCCAGACTGTTGTTCTGGACATAGTGTGAAGGTTCTTACCCTCGCCGGTGGACTCCATGCGTGACGCTGTGTTGACTGTGTCTCCAAAAAGACAGTACCTGGGCATCTTCAATCCAACCACACCAGCACACACTGGACCTGCACACCAACACACAACACTGTCAGTCTAGGTTAGTAGTATCCAGTAGTACCGCAATTCAATTCAATTCAATTCAATTCCATTTTATTTGTGTCATCACATATGGCTTAACATAGTCAGGTATAGACCTCACAACCCAACAATCCAAAGCAGCCTTTGGACTCCCTCTGAGCAAGCAGTTGGCAACGGTGGGAACTAAAGGAAGCAAAAAAACCCCAAGGGAGGGGGAAAAAACCTCTGGCAGAACCAGGCTCAGGGAAGGAGGCCATCTGCCTCTACCAGTGGGGTGAGAGTGGGGATGAGGGGGGTGGGGATAGCAGGATAGCAGATGGAGAGCAGCAATAGAACGGAACAATAAATATGAACTGCAGAATACTGCAGTTTTCTGTAGTACCACAGTGTACTGTAGTAATGCAGGGCTTTCCAGTACTGAAGTGTTTTGTAGGAGTTGCAGCACAGACATGCTTTGTTGTAGTTGTAGTCCTGCAGTGGTTTGTAGTACCCATGGTACTGAATGGTTTTGTAGTAGCAGTAATACTGTAGTGTTTTGTAACACTCATAGTTTTGTAGTGCTTTGTAGTACTAATCCTACTGTAGTGTTATGGTACTTGTAGTACTGCAGTGTTTTGTGGTACCACTGTGGATGCCGATGCGCAGCCACAGCTGCTGTTCAGCTCGGTGTCGGATTCTAAAGCTCTTGACGGCATCTAGCAGTGCGAGCGACATTCGGGCAACTTCCCGACCGTGGAGCTTCCCATTCCTCACTGGCAGGCCAGACACCACCATGTAGGCGTCGCCAATCGTCTCCACCTGAAGGGGGCAGCACACACAAACTGTTACCTGATGCACACCTGCTGCAAGAGCACAATTAGCCTAGCTTAGCACAGAGACTGGTTGCAGGGGGAAAGGTTTAGCCTAGCTTAGTACAAAGACTGACTGCAGGGAGAAAGTGTTAGCCTAGCTTAGCACAGAGGGCACAGCATGAGCAATAAAGGAATTTTTTACCTTGTAAACATCGAAGTTGTCAATGATGGCGTCGAAGCAGGTGTAGAGGTCGTTTAACAAGGTCACAACCTGCAGGTCAGAAGCGCAGCTCAGATGAATGTCTTCACCTTACTGTGTTGTTAAGCGCTGTGAGATGACATATGTTGTGAACTGTGCTATATAAATAAAATTGAATTGAACTGAATATCTGAAACTTTACTGGAAAGATTTACTGTCTTCTAATATGTTCTAACGACCAGCATTTGTGTTCTACTGAATTATACCTACCAGCATCTGTGTTTAACCCCAAACTGCAACTGTGTTCCTCTGAGTTCTAATAGCCCGTATCTATGTTCAACTCAGTTCTGTCGTTCAGTATCTGTGTTCTATTTCAGGGGTTCTCAACTGGTGGGTTGTGACCCAAAAGTGGGTTTGTTTGAAGTTCATTTTAAGTTTGTGTTGATGTTGGGATGCAAGATGCCAAAGCGCAAACATGACCCGGACTATTTAAAGTGTGGATTTTCATACTAGGACTGGACCCGAATAGCCGCCTATTGGTTCACTGTGCTGGAATCAGGATATCAGCTTTGATCTCCAAATATCTGATCAGGAGTAGAGCATGTGGCCAACTGTCTCATTAACTTCAACAAATGACCTGATAAGGCCAAAACTTTATTTTTGAGTAGTTTTGATATTTATTTTAATCGCTTTTGTACAGGCAGTGGTCATGGTCCTCCTTAGATTCTTATTAATTTGCTCAAAATGGAGTGAAAATATGTTGTTTTGTGGCTTTATTTATTTTGTGCAGTTTTGTACATGCAGTGGTCATGGTCCAGTTACTACGCATGGTTAAATGCTCTGAAATGCATGTTGCACAGGAAAATATATTGAACACTGAATTCTAAAAAAAAATTGGGTCATGACTTAATGACCACAGGAACATGTGAGTCCCAGGGTGAGACCAGTTGAGAAGCCCTGTTCTATTTTATTCTGCCGACCACCATCGGTATTCTTCAGAGTTCTAACAACCAGCATCTATGTTCTACCTAGTTCTACTGAACAGATTTCCCATTTGAAAGCAGAAGCTAAAGTTAATTTTGACGTGTCTGGTGAACAGAAAATGTGTTGCAGTAAGAACTCACACCATTAGATGGCAGTCTGGTTTCAGGTTCTGACCTACATGTGTTCTGATGTGAATCTACAGTGTTCTCAATTCTACTGGGTTCTACTGACCTGCAGTGGCGTGCTCTCAGCAGACAGTGCGGTGAAGCCAACAATGTCGCTGAAGTAGATGGTGACAGAATCGAAAGCTTCGGCCTGAACCGTCTCACCTCGTTTCAGCTGCTCCGCTACAGAACTGACACAAACAGAACCAAGACAGTACTGCAAACTGTACTGCTCTATAGCACCTGATGTAGTATTGCAGGGTAGTTACTATGTTAGTATCTGGTAGAGCTGTACATGTACTACTGCAGTACTCACTGTGGTAGTATCTGGTACAACAGAGCCTCAGCCTTGCGTTTCTCCTCATGATAAGCTTGAGTTCGTTCCTCCACCAGCTCCTCCAGGTTGTTGGCGTACTGCTCCATCCGAGACAGAAGGTTGTCCAGGATGTTAGAACCATAACCTCTGAGGACAGACACACAGACAGACAGAAGGTGGTAAAGAGAGATGTCCTACAGAAGGTTCTGGTCATACAGGGGCCCCTGTACCTGCACTGGCCCCTCACCTGTGCTGCTTCCTCAGCAGGATCTTGACGGTGTTAAAGTCCGGTCTCTCGCTCGGCTCTTCACTCCAGCAGCGCTGCATCAGGACACCAAGCTCCTCACTGTGACTGTGGACACAAAGGGACGGACGAAGAGGAGGGACACCACCCTGAGACACCGCCTGGACTATCTCTGAGGGAGAGACAGAGAGACGGAGGGCAGGGTGTTGTTAATGTCATGATCAGAGGTGGACCTGTCTGGTGGGGGCGCAGTCTGCAAATGACCTTTAATTTTAAATCAGAAATTAGAATATGAGTAACACCAGACACAACTATTTAAAGGAATGTACATGTTCTACCTCTGGAGGATGTTCTAATCATAATCTATCCATCCATTATCTATACACCGCTTAATCCTCATTAGGGTCGCGGGAGGGCTGGAGCCTATCCCAGCTGACTCAGGGTGAAGGCAGGGGACACCCTGGACAGGTCGCCAGTCTATCGCAGGGCCACACTTAGAGACAGACAACCAAGCACACTCACATTCACACCTACGGACAATTTACAATCACCAATTAACCTCAACATGTTTTTGGACCTTGTGGGAGGAAGCCGGAGAACCCAGAGAGAACCCACGCTGCACGGGGAGAACATGGAGACTCCACGCAGGAAGATTCCGGCAACCTTCTTGCTGCGAGGCAACAGTGCTACCAACTGCGCCACCTTGCAGCCCTAATCATAATCTAATTTAACATTATTCAGTCTGACCAGAACTAAAAGACCATTCATCAAACTCTCATCGGTATTTACAGGATCTGTACAAACTGTTCAGGGCTCCAGACAAACTCTGTCACTGGTAGCACCAGTACGACCCACTTCCTCATTGTGTCCCACCTCCCACCTGGTCAAAGGCAGAACGTATGACTGGCTGAACATGTTCTTATCGATTGATGATTTCCTGACGCTCCCTGAACGCCCCGCACAGCAGGCTGGTAGCTGCTGTAGGTGGCTGTGGTTCTCTGACAGGTGTGTGACCAGAAATGACTTTAAACATATTAAACCAGGGCGGGTGGCCCAGGCCCAGGTCCAGGTCCAGGTCCAGGTCCAGGTCCAGGTCCAGGTCCAAGGGCTATAATCCCCGAAGCAGCGGCCGCGGTTTGATTCCAGCCAGCGGCTCATTTGCTGCATTTCATTCCCCCACGTTTCTCTATCTTCACTGTCAACTATCATGGAAGGTGGAAAAGCCCAAAAAATATCTTTAAAAACAAAATAATATTAATAAACTGGGCGTTCTCATGTCAGATGTGTCTGAGGTTAAACCCAGCCTCATGTATTCTACACACGTACTTTTCTATGAGCGGAAAAACGCTCCGTTGTCACGAGACAACCTCATTTTTAAGCGTAAATCCTGCTGGACACCGAAGCTCAAAAAGTCCTACTTTCCCCCTCTGAGGTCCACACAGCAGCTTCCTGTGGCGGTGACAGCCACTAATTCAGCTTCTATCGGTTCACACACTCCAAAAAAAAGTCACAAATGCAGTCTGGAGCTATTTGCACAAAAACTCAGCTCTTCTCTCTTTCTGCTCAGCAAACTTCTCTGTTACATTTCGGTTGAAGTCAGTCATCTCAGTGAGCAGCCTCTGGTCCACTGACAGCAGGCCGAGCATGAAGCCAGCAGTCAGCAGCTGGTGTCTGGTAGCAGAGCGACGGGCCGCGTGACAGCATCACAAAGCCCAGTCTAAGAACGTCAAGGCTAAATTAATTGGCTTACAGCAAAAGTGGGCGGGTCCAGGATGCACCGAGCTGCGCCCCGTGAGGAAGTCTGCAGCTGCCAATCAGAGCCCGGGCCGAGGTCACATGATCACGAGAAGGTTTTGAGCTACATACACACTGAAGTGTCCGCGGCCCGCATCCAGGAAGTGTAGAATCAGTGAACACGCAGTAAAGACTGATATCACATCTGTTCATAATACAAATACTGTTAACATGGCAAAAGAATATGAAAGTTATTATTAATGTTATTGTTGTTTTGTTACAATTAATTCATGCTGAATATTGTGTTTGAGAGCTTTCATGGGGTCATCAGTAGTGGGGCGGCGCCCTGCTGGGATCAGCTGAGAGGCTTCAGTCTGCAGGATTTTGTTCTCAGTGTTTCTGTAAAGTTAAAGCTGTTATTCTGACAGAAGCTGTTCACAGCTCTATTCTTTGTCTGTTTTTTTTTTCAAAGATTTATTTTCCGCCTTTATTGATAGTGAAAGTGAAAGATAGAAAGAGAAACGTGGGGGAATGAAATGCAGCAAATGAGCCGCTGGGTGGAACCGAACCCGGGCCGCTGCTTTGGGGATTATAGCCCCTGTATATGGGTCGCCTGCCCGACCCGCTGAGCTGTCCAGGCGCCTTCTTTGTCTGTTTTTATTCACATCTTTACAGTTTGTGCTCACCCCACAGTAATCAGATAACTTCTGATTACTTCGGATTACTCCCCAACCAGGCAAGGCAGGTGGCCACCTTTCCTGAGCCTGGTTCTGTCAGAGGTCCCTCCCCCTTGGGGGGTTTGGTTCCTTCCCACCGTTGCCAACCGCTTGCTCAGAGGAAGTCCAAAGGCTGCTTTGGATTGTTGGATTCTCTGTTTAAGGTCTAAGATCTGTACCTGGCGATGTTCAGCGCTGTTGTAAACTGCCCTGTACAAATAAAATAAAATTAACTGAATTTCTAACAGCAGAGTGTTGTCTCTGACACCAGATTACAAACTACCAGTTCAGATTTCATAGATTAAATTCAGTCTCCACAGCAGGAGCTCAGTGAAACTAAACTAAGAGTCCATCTTTCATTCCTGAGCTGCTCTGGTTCCTTCAGTCTTCATCTGCTGACAGACTCAGTCCTCCTCAGCATGGAGGAGACCAGAGTCCACTAGGTTCTGCTCACATGTTCTGATGGAGGAGACCAGAGTCCACTAGGTTCTGCTCACATGTTCTGATGGAGGAGACCAGAGTCCACTAAGTTCACTCTGTTTCCTTCAGCTGCTCTTTGCTGGAGGGTTGTGCTGCTCTACCTTTCTCTGGAAAACACCTCAGAGGGGTTAAGGGGCCACCTGAAGAAGACATGAGCCAGAATGTTCCATGCGTTGGTTCTGTTGTGGCGGTGGAAGCAACAAACATCTGGTTTGCTTCCTCTGGTAGGCGAGTGTCAGCAATGAATCAGTGATGTTTTAATGTGTGTGTGCTGACGTCCAGCTGTCACACAGGAATGCAAATAATCAACACAGAAAACCGATCCCAATTCAGGTTCAGGTTCAGGTTCAGGTTCAGGTGTGACTGATGACTGACCTTTGGGGCTGAGGGACTGAGAGTCCAGGTAGAAAACTCCTCTGAGCAGAGCCACCTCCTGCAGAATCACCCCGAAGCTGTAGACGTCCCCCCGCTGAGTCCCACAGAGGGGAGGACAGTCTGTCCTCAGCAGCTCTGGAGCTGTCCACAGCTTCCCTGATCACCAATAATCGATATATCAATTACAGACGGACCACTGATCATTTTATGCACACATCGTGTATATGTGGGTTTGTGTGTCTGTGTGTCGTACGTGCGTAGTAGGCGTGTGTGTCTTCAGGACAGCTGCTCGTCCTCAGACTCTGCAGTCCGTAGTCTGTGATTTTAAGGACAAAGCGACTGTCCACCACGCAGTTGGACGACTTCAGATTGCCATGGGAGACGATGACGCTGTTGTGGATAAATGCCATCCCCTGGAGACAAACAAAAAACCAAACAATGAAGTAAACAAACAGGTCACACAGGACAAAAAGCACAGAGACAGCCAGTTGACTCCCTGCTGCTGTATGTTGTTTGTTTGTTTGTTTGTTTGTTTGTAGGGGCATAACTGATGCAGTGGATGTAAACAGAACAATAACAGACAAAATAGAAACAGAATAAAATAAACTAAATGTGAAACAAGGCCTGCAAGGTGTCTCGGTGGTTAGCACCGTTAGCGCCTCACAGCTAGAAGGTCGCCGGTTGGCGTCCCGGTGAGGACACCCGGGATCTTCCTGCGTGGAGTCTCCATGTTCTCCCCGTGCAGCGTGGGTTCTCTCCGGGTTCTCCGGCTTCCTCCCACAGTCCAGAAACATGCTGAGGTTAATTGGTGATTGTAAATTGTCCGTAGGTGTGAATGTGAGTGTGCTTGGTTGTCTGTCTCTAAGTGTAGCCCTGTGATAGACTGGTTACCTGTCCAGGTGAACCTGCCTTCACCCTGAGTCAGCTGGGATAGACTCTAGCCCCCCATGACCCTGGTGAGGGTTAAGGTGTAGAGATGATGGATGGATGGAAAACTGAATAGACATGAGAGGCTCTGTCCACACAACCTAATTGACAGGTCATTTCCTCTGGTGCTCTGCCAATTACCTTGACGATGTCATTAATGAGAGAGTATCTGAACATCCAATCCAGTGTAATGCTGTCACTCTCCATCAAGTCCTGGAGGACAAAGACAAATAGTGTTGGACATTTCTACACCGTGAGGACTTGTGTTGTCTCTGCTCTCAGCCTTGTCTTTATGGAAACACTGTCCTCTCAGGACAAACTGTGAGAAGCAGTTTGTTAAACAGTCTTCAGCCCACGTCCACCTACAGCTGCATCATGTCTCCACATGTTGCTAAGTTACTGTGCTGGCATGTTGCTAGGTTACCACGATGGCAGGTTGCTAGGTGACTGTGCTGACAGATAACTATAACTGAGAGGTGGAGGACTGAAGCTGCAGCTGACAGTGGAACATACTGGTCACACTGGGACACTGGTGGGTTCATATAGGTTTTACTGGGAGACTGTTGGATGCATATGTGTTTATACAGCTGGTAGAGGGCTGACAGAGGGTATTGATTATTGATATAGATGTTGTTGATCACTGATAGAAGTTATTAACAATTACTGATAGAGGGAATTGATCACTGATAGAAGATATACTTTGTGGACAGGTGCAGAGCTGGGCGTACCTGAAGGCTGCCTCTAGGACAGTATTCAGTGATGATGCACATGTTGGGTGGGTCCAGGCAGGCGCCGATGAAGCGCGTCAGGTGTTCATTCTGAACATCTCGCATCTGCAGAAACACAGAAGCTGCTGGTTCAAATCCCACCAAAACCACCAACAACACAAAATCAGATACAGCAGGCAGCAAGGGGGTGGGTCGGTTTGTCGGTCAGTACGTAGATAGTTAGGTGGACATGTGGTAGTTAGTATGTCATTCAGTGAGTAGTTCGGTAGGTAGACCGGTTGGTTAGTAGATCATTTAGTGGATAGTCAGGTAGTGAGCTGACTCAGTTCGTAGGTTGAGCAGTGGGTAGATAGGTTAGCATGTTGGGCGGTTTGGTAAGTGAGTTGGTCAGCAGGTATTTAGTTTTGTAGGTTGCTCAGGAAGAGTTCTCGAGGATGTTCTTACATGCTTCAGTTCAAACAGAACCTTCCGAGTCAGTTCGATGCGTTTCTTGTTGATGTACTTGATGGCTGCCAGGTTTCCCTGCAGGAGAGAAACCAGCGTCATGACTCTGCATTATCATTGGGACAGCATCATGTCATCAGTGTCAGCTGTCAGACCTTGTAGTATCCAGTCTTGGTGTAGATCTGGAAGTTTCCCTCCATGGTCATCAGTGAGCCGTAGTTGGATCCTTTCTGCAGAGAAACTCGTCAGCTAGTGAAAATGAAGGTTCCTCACAGATCCATGCAGTCATGGAAAAGGAACATCAAACACTCCAGAATCATACAGGTGCATTGAGCCAAACCAACTGATAAATCTTTAACTGTTGGCTAAAGAGATTCTAGGAGGCACATTTACCAGAAATGATCTGATTTTATATTCCTATATTTAATAGTAAGCAACTTGTAGTTTAACACCACAGTACTGTGATTAACGGGTTCAACTGAAGGAGACACTGAAACACTGTTCACTGTTCATCTGCAGGAAAACATTTGACATTAACCCTCTGAAACACAGCAGCGGTTTCTGGCTGTTGTTTACTTCTGTCTCATGTTTCTCTGCAACATAAAGTCCTGCAGCTCAGTGGAACCAGAACACGAAGGAGAGAGAACTCAGAGACATCTTCAGTCACTATGACACCGTTAGAATGACAGAAGACATAAAGAAGAAACAAATCTTTGATTATTTATTTTACAAAAAAAAAAAAACTGGAACCATCACGTCCGACATTTTTCCAGATGTTAAACCCTGGAGCTCATGTTGTCTCCTCATCCTGCAGATGTTGAACAATCGCCATGTTCCAGACTCTCCAGACTTTTCTTCTCTGCTCTGATCATCACATGCAGAAAGATGTTCCACCACCAAGATGTTCCACCATCAGTAGAAAGATGTTCCACCATCAAATGTAGAAAGATGTTCCACCATCAGATGTAGAAAGATGTTCCACCATCAGATGTAGAAAGATGTTCCTCCATCAGCTGTAGAAAGATGTTCCACCATCACCTGTAGAAAGATGTTCCACCATCATGTAGAAAGATGTTCCTCCATCAGCTGTAGAAAGATGTTCCACCATCAGATGTAGAAAGATGTTCCTCCCTCAAATGTAGAAAGATGTTCCACCATCATATGTAGAAAGATGTTCCACCATCAGATGTAGAAAGATGTTCCACCATCATATGTAGAAAGATGTTCCACCATCAGATGTAGAAAGATGTTCCACCATCAGATGTAGAAAGATGTTCCACCATCGGCTGTAGAAAGATGTTCCACCATGTTGCATGTATCTCCAACAACTGGCTCCTCTGTTCACTGTTTCTGAGCCATGCTGTCTGTTTATTGGTCATATCCATGTCATAGTCAGTCATGGAGAATCAGATGGAACCAGGTTTTGGTTTTCAAAGAATCTCATTCGTGCAAACAGTTTATTTTTGGAGACCCTTCAAATGTGATATGTTGAATAAAATGATTATGAGGAAATATTGTGGTTTTAAGCTGAGATTTGAACTGAAATCTCTTGCTTGGAAGTGCTGGAAGTTCTCCTTCTGCTTGGACAACCACTCCTGCTTCTCTTTCTTGGGTGTTGACTGGTTTTCATTCAATTCCTCCCGGTACCGAAGAAGTCTCCCATCACCAGCCTAAATGATTATCGTCCTGTGGCCCTCACTCCGGTAATCATGAAGTGCTTTGAGAGCCTGGTCCTCCAGCACATCAAGGACTATCTCCCGCCGGACCTGGACCCCTACCAGTTTGCATATCGTGCAAACAGATCCACTGAGGA